GATATTGATACCTCTTGTGTCTTTTTTTTTTCTAATTTTATTTTTATGATAACGTATGGGGATGAGATAGGAGTTTAATTACTTAAGTTTTATTGTTTAGTAAAATTTTATTTTTATCTTTATCCTCATATTCAGTGAGTTTGTAATTTTTATTCTATTTTAATTATTTTTTGAAAAACACGTATATCATAATAGGAATTGTACTGTATTGCAAATATTAATAAAATATATTTTTTAACATTAAATATTAATAAAATATTTAATATTAAAAATATATTTTTTAATGTTAAATATAAAAAAATTATAATTGTATAAATATTAACTAAGTATCAAATAATAATTGGTTAAATGTTAATGATTATGAAAAAAATAATATTAAATGTGTGTCTAAGAAATAAATTATGAAACTAAAGATTAAATAATTAAGTTTGTTAGGTTATCAAATACATTAAAGCTGTTTTAGTAATTTGAAACAGAACTAGTATAAGAACAAATATGAGTAGATGTACGTTAGTTTGAAGTACTTATTATAGTTATCTCCTTAAAGGACACATTAGAAGGTTGAAGAGAAAATATATTTAAATTTTCTTTTATTTTAACTTTTAAGTTATGTATGATGCCACAACTTTATATAAGTTTGTGTTTCTTGAAGGTGTAACAACTAAATCCTATTAAGTAATTATTTTAATTATGTAATTTTTGCATTTTTTATAGGTCGATACCACTATTATGAGATACATTTTTCACCTTTTAAACTAGTAGGCTAGAAAGACTTTATATCAATGGTGCATGTCACTGATTCTCATACACTCTTTTATTGATGTCTACTCCTTTGATAACTAGACAAAGGGGCATTTGTATATGCCATATTGTCTAGGTATGATAACTTGATAGAGTGGAATTTAAATGTCACACATTTTATCAATCTTTTCAATATTTGGATATAGGGAAATTTAGACATTATTTATTTTGTATATATATATATATGTTGACTCTGTAGAAGGGTGTTAAGATGTAAAACATTATTGATTGGAAAAGTACCTAAGTGTCTCTCCTTAAGCATGTGAAAGAAAATGAAATAATATATGTCTAATGATTTGGATATATAGTTTGGGAATAAATTTATATTATTAAGAACAATGATATGATGTGAGTGGAATAAATTAGTCCTAGCTTGGACATTGTTGAAATATTATTGATGATTAAGTGATTTTTATTTTATGTTATGAAAATGGGATATATTTGGTCTGAAATTACGGAAATGGAAAATTTTAAAATATATTAAAAATTTTAGATAAGTCATGCATAGAGATCACAACTTCATCAATAAAATTGTGTTGAAATAAAATGACTTTAAATTTTTATTTTAAGAAATCATGCATTACAAAGATAATTTTAATGAAAATTTGAAAAAGAAGAAATCAGGTTTGAGGATGATGAATTTTAAATTTTTATTTTAAATTAGAAGTTTTGACATGGGAACACATTTAAGTGTAAATATGAAAAAGAGAAGTAATTGGACATGTCTTAACAGAAGGCGGAATAAATAGCAACATAGGCAACGAGGAGAGGTAGAGAACAACATGACTTATGTTAATGAAGTTTTGATTTCCTTGGACGACTTACTTAAAATTCGTAATATATTTTAAATATATCCATTTTCATAAAAATAACAAAATATCTTGGTCATTATTGGACAATACTTACATACCATTTACACTATTTAAGCTTATTTGTACAACACCAAACTCGATGTAAACATAAGTTATTCACTATTTAGTCATGTGCACCATCACTATAAAACACTAGTCATCATCCATGATCAATGACACTAATATCACTGAAATATAATGTTTTCTGATAAAAAAATTGTCACGAAATATTAAAAAGTCGGTCACAAAAATATATGACAAAAAATGTCATCACTTGTCACAAAAGAAGTCTCACGAAAGCTTTTAGATTGAAAACACCACTTTGTCATAAGTAGTGATGACAAAAAAATTCATCATGAAAATTTATCTATTTGTGAAAAAAGAAAGTCTAAGATTTTTAAATAGCGAACCATCATAAATTGTGACAAAAATTGTTTGTTTGCTTAAGAGAGGATGTGGTGATGTTAAATGACCCTAGTTCAGACAAAAATATATCACTTGAAATGACAGAAGAAAAGGTAAGTGAAAGAAAAAAAATTGTTTAAAGCACTCGTTTAAGCACTTTGAACGAGATAATTATTTATTGTTTAATGTGAGTTTACACACACTTAATAGACCGAGTTTGATCATTTGGAACAACAACTTATTGCTTAAGTGACAGTGTGAGACCGTGTCACCTACAATTTGTATTTGACAATTAAGCGACATCCATTTGAATGATCTCTTAAACATGAAATATGCAACTTAAGTTTAGCATTATGATTGCTAAGCCTTAAAGGTAGTTCATGATTTAATCATGAATTCAATAAACTTAAGAAACTCATTAATCTAGCTTAAGTGTAGGAAGTTGGTCACTCAAGTGTGAAACTAAAGAGGTAGGTTAATTATGACATAAAATTGACTTAAGCTTTTTAGGCCACTTAGCAAGTATTTAATGTAGTTTACTTGAACTATTAAAATAAAGAACATTGCACTGATCAATATTTAAATGAAAAAACTACTAATAAATATTATAATAAAACATATTACAATCATAAAAAATTATGATGTTTATGAATTATTTTCCATGTCATAAAATCAATAGTAATAAATATTATAAATGAATAAATATAAAAAAAATATTTGTTATCATAATAATGATCATGGTGTTGTTCTCTTATATAAGGGTGAGTTTTAATTTGCATTAAAGAAGATGATATTGGTGATGAGAGATTAACTAAAAGAATTGATTAACATAAACTGTGTCATCTACTCTGTAAGTAAATGTGACTCTACTAGTTCTTATTTTCATTAAATAATTTGCAGACAAGATGTCCCACATGTTCAAGTTTATATGATGTGATAATATTTGAAAAACTTGAAAAAGAATGTTTAAAATTTTAACTTAATTATCCTAAATCTAAAAACTTGTTCTCTTTTATTCATTCTTCGACATCGTAGCATATGTCATCATCAGATGGATGAGTTTGATATGTGAAACTTTATCAATACTAAAAATATATGTGTGATCAAGGAGAACTGTGTAAATGAAAAAGATGAGTGTGAGTGAATGAGATGAATATAAATTATGAGTATGAATGAAATAAAAGAGAAAAAAATATGAATGAGAAGATTTATCCTCTTTAAATATAAATCTTAGGATTAAAACTAGTTAGCATATAAATTAACATTGACCATTAAAGATATTAGCGTCTAATTGATCGACACTAACCTAAATACATAATAAAACAAAAAAAATTAGTATCAACTTAATTAACGTTAACTTAAATAAATATAATTATTGAAAATAAATAAAATTAATATAAGTTATACTAAATAATAACCTAGTTTATTTTACTATTTATTTTAATTAACATTAATTTAGTCTATACTAGATAGACTCTAACGTGAATGTTTTTACTTTTAAGAAAAATTAACAATAGTTTTCATTGCCTTATAGTTGACACTAACATATTTTACTCTTTTATTTTTTAAAATAATAATAGAAAATTCTAATGTGGAAATTGTGTTTATGATTACATTTTGAATTATTGGGACACTTGTTTTTTTGGGATTATTCATTTAAGATGAATATTTTTATTTTTTTTAATTATTTAGATATTTTAAATAAAATATTTATTTATTAACTAAGAAATGATAATTTTTAAAATTATAATGAAAAATAAATATTTACGCAATCATTATTCGAAATTTAATTTATATAAAATATTTAGATCGTGAAAAAATTAAACAAAACTTTATAAAATCGATAATATGTAATTATAGACTATTAAAGTGTTTAAAGTTTGATTCAATAATGAATTATGTGCTTATTTATTATTTTACCATTTTGACCATACTGATATTTCGAGAAGTGACATAAATAATCATATCGAGTACTTTAATATTTTCAAATTTTCAAATTTCCAAAATTTTAAAATATTTACTGACTTCATTAGAACTTAACATATTTTAGAAGTGTTTTGGCATCTCCTAGTGTTGATATGATGAAATGCATTATCGATACGACAAGTAGAATTTTGATTATTTATTGTATTTTTGGTGTTTTTATATGACTTAAAAAGATATTAAAAGAATTTAACATATAAAAAGTAATATATTTTGAAAGTGAAATTAAGAAATAACAAAAAAAATTAATATATTTGTTCCATGAGTCTTCATCTAGTATCCTATATTTTATAAGACATGCTTTGGGTGTATTTTTATATAAAAAAAAGTGTTTACCGAAAAAATTTAAGTTATCTTTAATGTTCAGTAATAAAAAAAAATTGTATTTTAAAAAAAAAATGCATACACAAGCCATGCATGGAAGGTGATTTGGCAAGAATGGAGTACTATAAATATGTAGTTGAATGGGCAAAGACAAACACAAGAATAAGAAGCATCAATGGCAATTCCCATGGAGATCCCTTTTCTTTCCATCTTATCCTACTCTTTTCTCTACCTCCTTATCTTTCTCGTTTTCCAGCTTCTTCTCCAAGCCAGAAAGTTCCAGAACCTTCCACCAGGTCCACCCTCTCTTCCCATATTCGGCAACCTCCACCACCTCAAACGCCCCCTCCACCGCACCTTCAAAGCCCTTTCCGACAACTACGGCCACGTCATCTCACTCTGGTTCGGATCACGCCTCGTCGTCGTCGTCTCCTCCCACTCCCTCTTCCAACACTGCTTCACCAAAAACGACGTCGCCCTCGCCAACCGGCCCCGCTTCCTCTCCGGCAAATACATCTTCTACAACTACACCACCCTTGGCTCCTCCCCCTACGGCCACCACTGGCGCAACCTCCGCCGCATCACCGCTCTCGAACTCCTCTCCACACACCGCATCAATACCTTTGCCGATATTCGAAGGGACGAAACGCACAGACTCATCCGGAAGCTCGCTGAGGACGCGTCGAGCGACTTCGCCGAAGTGGAACTCACTTCCAAGTTCTACGACATGACGTTCAACAACATAATGAGGATGATCTCAGGAAAGAGGTACTACGGTGATGACTGCGACATGGCCGATGTGGAAGAGGCCCGGCAGTTCAGGGCCATGGTTTCGGAGCTTCTGAAGCTGTCCGGGGCCAATAACAAGAACGATTTCATGCCCTTACTGAGGCTGTTTGATTTTGAAAACCTGGAGAAGAGGCTCAAGAAGATCAGTTCCAAAACTGACACCTTCTTGAATGGACTCCTGGAAGAACAGCGCAGCAAGAAGCAAGGTGCAAATACCATGGTTGATCATCTCCTCAGTTTGCAGGAATCGCAACCTGACTATTACACTGACCAAATCATCAAAGGCCTTGCTTTGGTAAAAGTTTTCTCTGTTTCATACTGTTTTTCTTTTGTTTTCTCTATTCTTTGTGAACTTAATTAATCTAGTTGAGTTACACTAAAGGGCATGCTGGTTGCTGGAACTGATTCATCAGCCGTAACTTTAGAGTGGGCATTATCTTGTATGCTGAACCATCCAGAGGTGTTGAAGAGGACAAGGGATGAATTGGAAAAACAAGTGGGACAAGAGCGTTTGTTGGAGGAGTCTGACTTACCAAAACTACCTTACCTTAAAAACATAATCTTTGAGACACTTAGGTTGTATACTCCTGCCCCATTGTTGTTGCCACACTCATCTTCAGAAGAGTGCATGATTGGGGGATTCAAAGTTCCACGAGACTCTATAGTGCTGATAAATGCTTGGTCCATTCACAGGGACCCTGAAGTGTGGAGTGAAGCCACAAGTTTCAAGCCTGAAAGATTTGAAAGTGAAGGTGAGTTGGAGAAGCTAATTGCGTTCGGGATGGGAAGAAGGGCTTGCCCAGGAGGAGCCTTGGCTATGCGTGCACTCTGCTTGACTTTGGGATTATTGATTCAATGCTTCGATTGGAAACTATTTGGTGACAAAGAGCTAGACATGAGAGAGGAAAATGGATTCACTTTGTCCCGTTTAATCCCATTAAAGGCCATGTGTAAAGCACGCCCAGTCATCAACATGCTTCTGGACTGATTTCTTTAAGCTTCCACTTTTTTACTTTCCAACAATAAAATGAAAATTAGTAATTTTATAAATTTATATGTAATTTTTTAAAGTATTTTTAACATTATTTTGTCATCATATATACAACATTTTTATTTCAATAGTTAATTCTGAAGTAAGAATTTACTTTTGTATTTTAATTTAAGTTTTATTTTTTCTTTTACATTACATGATCCAATATGAATATTATCAATGTAGAAATTAAAAGATGTCTTACATTATATTTTAAGCCATAAAGAATGTAAGATATTTATAATTGATTTTATATGTCTTTTATAATCAAGTAAACCACATAATTTTTTTTCATTGAAAAATCATTTTACTAGTAGTTATAACATGAACTGGGATAGAAATATATATAACATTCCGGCTTTTGTATCATAATAGGCAAAAATGAGAGAAAGATTACGAGAATAGGCAAAAAAAAATTTAATTACGAAAATAGACAAGTCGTGGAGGGTTCATACGACTTTTAATGAAGGAGTCGTGTTCCCCTCTGCACGACTTCACACTGTTCATTTGATAGTGTTGAAGTCGTACACCCAAAAAATGACTTTAGAGCATGGTAATCGATTACCAGAAACTTGTAATCGATTACAAAGTCATTTTTCATAAAAAATAAAAAATAAAAATTAAAGTTGTGTGTGGGGGTTAACGACTTCTCTTATTGAAGTCGTGCACCCCCTCCGTTCTTATTTTTTATATTTTCTAATTTTTTTATTAATTAAAATCATTTATAATTTGTAAATAATATTTTTAAATGTACTTAATATAATTAAAATTATACCTAATTAATAATTATATTTTTTAATATTATTAAATAAATAAATTTTATAATTTTAATTATTTTTGTAATTAAATTAAATTTATTATAAAATAATTTTAATTAAATAATTTATAACTATAATTATTTTAATTATGTAATTAAAATTGAAAAATAATTATATTTTATTATAATTTATTTTTTTGAGTTTTTATGATTGTAGAATATCTTTTAACAAATTATAATTAATTAATAAATTTTTTTCACTATAAACTATTTAATTAATAAAAATACTAAATATTAACTATTTAAATTAATAAAAAACAAAATAATTAAAATTGTAGGGTTCACGACTTCTTGTGTTGAAGTCGTGCATCCCCACAAACTTTCACTTTTTAATTTTTTTTATTATTTCAAATGATTTATAATATTTAAATAATGTATTTAAATGTATATAAAATATTTCAAATTATTTATAATTAATAATTAAAGTTTTTTAATATTATTAAATAAATAAAATTTATTATTTTAATTATTTTTGTAATTAATTATAATAAAAAATAATTTATAATGAAATATAATAAGTTTATACATTTTTATTTATGTAATCACAATAATTATGGTTAGAAATTATTTAATTGAAATATCTTTTATAAAAAATTAATTTAATTACAAAAATAATTAAAACCATAAAATATATTTATTTAATAATAATAAAAAACTTTAATTATTGATTATGTATAATTTAAAATGTTTTATATACATTTAAATATATTATATAAAACTTATAAATCTTTTTAAATAATAAAAAAAGGGGTGCACGACTTTAAGTAAAGAAGTCGTTAACCCCAAACGTTTTCAACTTTTAAAATTTTTTATTATTTTAAATAGTTTATAATAAAAAAAATTTATTAATTAATTATAATTCATAAAAAGGTATAATATAATAATTAAAATTCATAAAATTAAATTATAATGAAATATAATTTTTAAATATTAATTAGATATAATTTATATTATTTTAAATATATTTAAAAATATTATTTATTAATTATAAATCATTTTAATTAATAAAGAAATTAAAAATTAAAAAAAGATAAAAGTGTGTGGGGAATGCACGACTTCTCATATTAAAGTCGTCACCCCCGGTACAACTTCAATACTTTTATTATTTTTAACGAAAAAAAGACGTGGTAATCGATTACGTACAATGTTTGATAATCGATTACAACAGCATGAAGTTGTTTTTGGGGTGCACGACTTCAACACTGGTCAAATGAACAGTGTGAAGTCGTGCAGAGGACACGACTTCTTCATTAAAAATCGTTTGAACCCCTCACGACTTCTCTTTGACCCAAAATTTCCCTATTTTCGTAATATTTCAGGCAAATTTGCCTAGTTTTGTGCAAAACCCATAACATTCCTTTTTCACACATATATATATTTATGTAATGTTTAATATTTTACTTTTACCAGAATTAAAGTTTGGACAATACGAATTTATTTTTTTAATGTGATTTTGCATATTATTATTATTTGTATTTTTCAATGTCACATCAATTTGACACATGTAATCATCACTCACCAAGTTAAATACCTTTCCTAACTCATCATATATTTATGTTTTAGAATTTTTCAATGATAATTGTAAAAGGTTTTCCTCCCGTGCTTTAGTTTGTTATTACTTGTTTTTCTTTTATATTTTGGGTAACATAGTTACCTTTAATATTGTAATCACTAAAATTTGTTAATATGGTATAATAACATTGCACCCAAACTCAAATCCACGCATAAAAAACTTCACCTCTTTCACCCCACGACAGTTGCAAGAATATTATTAACAAAATTAGATAAACATCTATGTCGTTTTTAAGTTATCTTGATTTTAGTATCATCATAAAAAAATCATCATATACTTTTCCTTTGTAAACAATCAAGAAAAAATTATAAATAATCATAAAGAAAAAAATTATACATATGTTTTTCACTTATGTTACAACTACTAGACTAAACCTAAGATCTAAACGTAAACACCACTAAAAAACAGTTTTTGACATTTGTTTTTATATATTCAATGTCTAATCCAAATCTGACATTTTATTGGATAACGTCAAATTGACGTTGGATTCTAAAATAGAATGTCAAAAGATGTCAGTTACGTGGACATATGTCATTTTGGAAGTCAACTCCTACTGGACTAACGTTGACTTACATTGAGTGTGTTTCTACCTCTTTGAGCGAGGAAATTTGGGTGTGCCATTGGAACCCATAAGATTTCGGACTGTGCATAACTGGACATCAATTGATGTCGGTTTTGACACTGACTGATATCCATTTTAATTTTTTTTGTAAATTGATTTGTTTTTACAATATTACTACATCTAAAATACAGAAAATCATTCCAGCACATCACAAAATTCTATATACTATTCGTTTCAAGTCGTTATAATACTAAAGCAATCCAAAACTAAAAATATCAAAAGTAAACTAATTAATGTATTCAACAAAAATAAAATTGTTCCTAATGGGATGACCATAGATCCTAAGTCCATATTTGCAGAAGATATACTATCACTCTTGTCGCGTCTTCTTAATTTTGTCCTCTGATATAAGTTATGTATTCTTGAAGCATTGCAAAATTAATTCAAATTCATTATGTTTGCATACAAATGTTCAAAGGTGAATGTGATTTGTAATGTATATGGAAAGTAAATATTATTACCTCAATCCAATCATCTGTAATTTTTGCTCAAACGAAATCCAAGACGTGACATAGTAGCCACATTCTCATGAATCTAGTTGCTTGTTACACTAAAATGACAAAGTAAATAGTCATATATGTAGACCATAAAACAACATAAAAAATGAATAAGAACTATAACTAACTATAAATGAGTTCCAACCTTTAGATACAGGATTTGAACTAGTTGAATTCTAGGTTTACCCATAACTCTATTTACATTGAAAACATAGGGTAATATTAATATAACTATATTCATCATGAGAAAACCATACATCACAAATTTGAAACATAAAAAAAAGAAACATTACGTTTGTAGCATAGATTTCAAGTCATTTTTCATCCTCCTGTGCAAGAAACAAACCCATATAATTGTGCATTGTCTTGGTATGATGACCACAGTTGCCAATGAGACCTATCATTAATCAAAAATAATTAGTGGATTACTTGAATAAACTTTAATAAAATTTTACATTTTGTAATACATACCCATCATTGTCTTCATCACCATTGTTTCTGCCAATATTTTTTTAACCGTGATAAATCACATGTTGGAAACAACTTTAGTGAAGCAAACTCCTTTATGTACAAAACATAATCATTAGGACAAACATGTATCTTTTGATATTCCAGATCCATTGGACATAAAATTTTCTTCACCTCATAATTACGGAGGTAGAGTGTTATTTCCTGGAAACATCTCCTTCAAAAACCTCAACAACTCTATGAAACTTTTATCAGTCTATCCATTCCTTGCTTTTAAACTAAACAATTTCAAAGTTGTAGACAGACGTGTAAAGCTGGAACATCTTAGATACAACTCTTGCTCTGAATCATTCTTAAGATAATCATACAAATTAGTTCTTCCAAAATTTTCTTTACCAACATCATGTTCTCTAAATGATCACTCAATCATTCTTCCACATAATATGTTCCTCGTGATGTTGTAACCTTGTCTAGTACTTCTTCATGCCAAGTCCAAACTGTATAAGTTCTCATTATATCGAACATGAATAGATGGTCATGCATATTGCCTAAGTGTTGAAGTATTTGATTAAGACAACGAACACAAGGACAAAAATATGTCCCGTTCACAGAGTTTTTGTTTTGTTGAACATAATGCAAGAACTCCAAAACTCCCTTTTCATATTCTTGACTAATGTGACGTTCATTCATCTAGCTTCGATTCATACTATGTAAAACTTCATCAATCTCAAATTTTTAACTCTCACAAGGTTAGGCCCTACCCATTCGAAAAAATTATTTTTCATAATTTCTACACATATACAAAGAAGTCTAACATGATAAATTTGATAATATTTCGGCAACATTTCGCATTGATCTCCGAAAAACACAAAATGAAAGTGGTCACAGATGACCACAATCAAATATGCATCATGAGAACAATACAAATAATCTCAACCTAAATTTTATCAAACTTATCCATAAACTTCAACTTCATTTTCC